ACACCCTAAACCCTAAACCGTCCCCCTAAACCCTAAACACCCTAAACACTCGCGGGGCTAACCCGTGAATTTACTTAAACCCATTCCTTGCAAGAATAGGCCGAAGCAAAAGTCCGAAAGTGGCCGCGGAGGCGAAGCAGCCGCTGCTCCACGCAGTTGTTGCTGTAGTTTCAGTAGGGACAGTGACCCAGTTCGGGTATTTGGCTACAAATTCTTAACTATCATATGAACTAATTCTGTATGTATTTGTATGCATATATATATATGTATACATATATATATATATATATATATATATATATGAATGAATATATGCACGTTCAGATTTATTTCGTATACACAGTTGTACGTCCATTATCTCTAATGTTTATACCCTGCGCTATCGCAATCGAAATATCGCCCACGAACAACAACAACGCCATGCAATAGTAATAATGATCCAGACAACACAAATAAATCAAGCACCGACCACAGGCGAACAAGCCACAGATCAACCAGCAAGGACGCATAAGGCAGCATCCTAAACCCTAAATCCGATACATACATGAATGAAAATCTGAAGGCCTGGAAGCAGAGAGTGGTGGCGGGTCTACCCCTGAAAAGAAAAGCTCGGCCCACTCGCCCTGGGACTTAATCACCTTCACCGCTTCGGCGAGTATGGGCGGCCACGGAGGGCACTCTCGATCCTAGACGCGGCCATGAAGTTCTCTCCCGATGGGCGCTCGGGCCATGAGAGGACTTCCCAAAGGGCACTGCTAGGAAAGAGGACCACACAAGCTTCCACGGATCATGCGGCTTCTCACCCAGTGACCAACTGCCAGTTTTCCCGATTTATCCCGCATCGTCCCCAGTGCGCGCGAAGCTCACGGGGCGGCTACCACCGCCTTTGGTGCCGAGGCCCTAGCAGGATGAAAAGTTAATCAGGAATAGCCCGCCGCCCACTTGCAACCGTCTGGCATGTTTTCATTCGTGCTTTCGCAGAGCAGAATACAGCAGGCACTGCACACGAAAGGTGAAGCACGAACCAACACATCCCCCCTTTACATGTGCCGCATGCCCAATCTTAACAACCCTGATATATCCAAAACGTTGAATCCACAACCCGCCTGGCTGCATCTCATAAAATCGAACTCTCAACACGACGAAAATGTATCAATCTCCAACGCTCCTGGTAGCCTTCAGACAACCAAGATAGTTGATGCTCTGACAAGTATAGATGGCACAGCTTGCAATGTTGCTGGTGCTCATACTAGCGTGCTGACGTGTGACAGTCATGCAGGCGACACTCGTCGAAGACACAAAGCATGTTCTCCGTTGCCCTAACCCCTAAACCTCTCAATATTATCGGCTTCTTGGGTGGGTGGGTGGGTAATTAATTTGTCTATATATATATATATGACTCTATCGTCAAACTGCTCGATCTGGAGCTCCTGAACCCCTAAAACAAACCCTAAATAAACCAAAGGCAAACAAACAAACAAACACAAAACAACACCAACACACACACACACACACGCATACCATGAAACCACAATTACCCTATGATCGGACTCTTAACACGTAGAATGGGGCTTCGGCGCCATGGTAGAGCATAATGGAACTATACAGATTGCAAAGGGGGTGCCGCTACTTACGTGATTCAGTTCTCTATGCTATGATTCAACAAGGTTTCTTCTGTAGCATCCCGGAATCCCTATCAACAGCAGGAGCAAGAGCAATAGCAAGACCAGGACCAAGAATTACATCAGGAGCAGGAGCAAGAGCGGCAGCGGGAGCAAGAGAAGAGCTGGTTTTGTTTCTGCCATCTGATCTCTGTTCTCTATTCGAAAATCTTTGTGAACGTCAACGTTGTTAAAGTCTCCGTTTTTTGCATCTCTAAGGCTTTAATCTCTAATCTTGCTCATCCGACCTCTGGTCTTGAAAGGCCCCAGTCCCTAAAGCCTAAGAACCCCTGAGCCCTAACACCCGCATACCCCTTGACCCTGCAACCGTGCAACAAAACTTGACAACGCCAAACCCTTGACCCTTAAAGCCTCGTGGAATTAGTTGGACATAATGAAAGAAGATTTAAGGCTTTGGGGGAAAGGGTGGGTAACTAACGGTCAGGATGAGTGGGGGCAGACAGAACATAAGAGACAGGGACTGGTATAACGCTCCATTTCCCGTTCCGTATACCGCACTCACCACCAGCAAGGGAAAAATTATGCTTACCGCACTGAAACCCTGAACCCTGCAAGACGGGAAGCCTCAGCAATACCAAGCTGCGCACCTTTGCTCTCCTGGGCAAGGACACGGGAGTGAGAACTAATGGTTTCATATGTGCTCAATTATGCTCAGAAGAGAGGTGGCAGCAGGAAGACGAACCACAATGTACAAAAAGTATCAGCAACAACGACAAACACCATACCCATGTACACACAAAAACTGCGTCAAGCTGTATTCCTCTTTCGGCGCTGTCGGTCTAAAAAGCCAGAGCCATCGATTCAGAAAAGCAGGAATTCGAACACACGGCCCCTTACGCAAAGACACTATTCCCGAGCCTGTGTGCGAAAGGATTCACCAGCACCGCTGTCAAGCTCAAACTCTGGAGCCGTCAAGTCGTTAAGATTCAACCCTCCGAAAAGCTTAAACACTGAAGCCTCGCAATCCTCAAAAAGTAAAACCCAACAATCCGGAAACCCAACCACCAGCCAACCAAGCCGTACCCCAACTACGAGTAACAGCCCTCAGCCCAAACTCCAAACCAAACCTTGACCCTAAGTCAGACGGCCTGAGAGTTAAGTAAGTTATTCTTGCGCCACCCTGCCTCTGAAACCCAGTTGTCGGCCTTAGTGCCCGACACTTTCACAACTGAATGGCCTCGTCCTTGAGCGGAACTCCAGCCAAGCCGATCTTCACTGGTGACTGGTCGCTGATCGGCATGGAAGCAGTCTTAGGTCGACAGAGTTTCTGTGTGGTCAGTCTGTCAAAGAAAGGCTTTTCTCCGGCACAGACTGCGAGCTTTCTTGTGGCTACTCGAGCGGGGTCATCTGGAATGACCTCACCTGGAATATCATTCTATTTTACAGCGTGCATTTTGCACAGTCCTCACTTCTTTTTGGTCTGAAAGCTGCTGAATTTACTCTTCACGGTCTGGCAGGCAGGCATTGCGGGCTGAAAACGGACTTGTATCGATGTTTTTTACAGGGAGCACCTTTTGGAATAAAACTTCGTGTTCAAATATATGCCTGGACCTGCTGTTGGCTGATGTTGGCTGTTCCGGAATTTGGGATTCGCAGATGAAGTGTCTCATCTTTAGATGGATGTATCGACAACGCGTACCAGTTCAGTGTCGACGAACGGGATTGAATTCAACGACCCAGCAACTAGGAGAAGCAGCCCGTGCAAATATGTTGCCAACCGCTGTGCCGGATTAGGCAAGAGGGACAGTAACGAGACTAATCCTATGCGGCGGAATGTGAATTTGAAGGCTGCCATGGTGGGCAGCATTGAAGTGCCACACTCCGAAGATTGTCCTGGCAACTTCCTCTCAGCCTTGCGGACCAACGTCTCATGCGTGCCACGCATCTTGTTCCAGAAATGCACAATCTTCCATCCGCTCGGTCGCATTGGCCCCTTCAAGCATGTGCAGCTCCTGCCTCCCAAAGCTTCTGGACGTCCTGTTTAGCTCCCTCTGCAATGCCAAGCCTGTCCTGACAGAACTCGCTCGCTTATGTCAAGAGACCACCAGCAATCATTTTCTCCATGTGCAACGGATGGTGCAAACGTGCCAGAAGCATGAACTTGCCCGTCCTTCTGTTCAGCCTGCATTGACGCGGCATTCGAGCATAGAACTACTGGTCCGATCGCTCTAGACGGTTGCATCCAAAGTCCAAAGCCGCTGCACTTGCCCTGTTGCTGGCATCGGCCTTCATGTCGCTCAGGGGCTTTGGAGGACCACCCTGACCAAGTGCTGGCTGGAGTCATCAACCAAAAAGACCGATCTAGCACCTTGCTCCTACTCCAAGCCGGAGGGGTGTCTGTTGTGAGTTAAAGTTGCATGGGGCGTGTTCTTCGGGTTCTTAATCATTGTAATCAGCGGTCTGCCTGCGAATTTTGACCATGTCCTGACATGTACGAGCAACGGCATGGGAACGGTCAGTGGCCACCCTCGCCTTGGGCGATTATTCACATTCTCAAACTTGTGCAGGACGATTATGCTGCCCACAAAAACCATTTGCCAAACATCGCGTCCAAACTGCTTAACCTGATCGTGTTAACCTAGTACCATAACACGAACGTCGTCGCTGTTGTTCTGCATCTACAACTTTTTCAGAGAGCCGTGACTAGCTTCGAGCCCATTGGAGGTTGGATGTTCCGCTGACTGTCCTGAAGTTTTTGGTGATTAAATGATCTTAACATATGTTTGCAATAGTTCTTGTCGCAAGCTTTAATGTCGCAAGCTTTAATGTGTAATTAGCCATTCGCAGAAACTTGTTCTTGCAGTTGTGCATCTTACTCGCAGCCTACGGTTCTCAGCATGATTTAGAGCAGGAGCAATAGCAGTAGCAGTAGCATCGCTAGTAGCACAAGCAGTCGTTTTGGTGGTTGTGGTGGTTGTCATGGTGGTCGTAGTAGCGGTAGCAGTGAGAGAAGTAGTGGCAGTGGCAGTAACGGCAGGACTAGAAGTAGAAGTGGAAGTTGTGGTGGTGGTGGTGGTGGTGCTAGTTCTAGTGCTGCTGCTAGTGAAAGCGCTAGGGCTAGTGCTATTGCTACTGCTAGTGTCAGTGGCAGTAAGAGTAGTAGGAGTAGTAGTCGTCGTAGTAGTAGTAGTTGTGGTAGTAGTAGTAGTAGTAGTAGTAGTAGTAGTAGTAGTGGTTGTGTAGTAGAAGTAGAAGTAGAAGTAGTAGTAGTAGTAGTAGTAGTAGTAGTAGTAGTAGTAGTAGTAGTAGTAGTAGTAGTAGTAGTAGTAGTAGTATATAGTAGTAGTAGAGTAGAGTAGAGTAGAGTAGAGTAGAGTAGAGTAGAGTAGTAGAGTAGCAGTAGCAGTAATACTAGTAGTAGTAGTAGTAGTAGTAGTAGTAGTAGTAGTAGGAGGAGGCGGAGGAGGAGGAGGAGGAGGAGTGGTAGCAGTAGTAGCAGAGCTTGCTGTCTTTCCGACTTGCCTCTTTCGGCCAATAATACGGGGTCGATGTCTGATGAACAGGAACATCTTCCAGATCCTAAAGACGAAGCATGAAGACTGCGAGACCGCTGCTCGTGCCAGGTTTGATTCTGGAATCTTGCTGGTGCCTTGCAGGATCCTGCAAAGCATCACAGGGGCGTCAACAACTTGGAGAATGCGGTCCTGCCAAGACATTCTGACGCCATGCTCCTTGGCACGGCCTCAGGCGAGCAAGCCAGAGAAACAAAGTCAACCAAACCTGTTAAGATCACATTCTCGAGCACGACTTACTCGGCAGCACACGCGCACAAGCTGGGGAAAGCCCTCCAGTCGTGTCGGTCACTGACACAGAAAGCAAAACAGGCACCGGTACTGTAATGTATGACTGTATGTCGCTTGTGCCCATCACTTGATACTGTATGAATCCCTTCGCCCAGGCACGAATCTGTTCGGCAAGCAGAGCGTCGTGCTTGCCTTAATCAAAACAAAGGCAAGCAGTTTCCCTGTGTATCGGAAAGAACCTTGACCTGTTTTGCTGCCTTGAAGCTGATCTCGCGAATCTGCTCCTCTGCCATTTACACTTAAGGATGTGAGTTGCTAGGCATACCGTAGTGCGTGCCGTCTCCACACCGGCTTGTTGGCAAACATGACATTTTCGGGGAGTGAATTGCGTTGAAAGTCTGGTCTCGACACAAAACATTCGTGACACCTTAGACTTGTCGTCTCAGTGGCTTGTAAACATCCACGATCTTCCACGTGTGCCGCTCTCACATCTGAGTTTTCTGACTTGTCACATTTGTAATGCTTGCGTAAACACATCTGCGCTTGCAAGAACGACGATCGCCCGAAAACGGAAACGGGCAAGCTCATCAGATCTCATCAGCCCATTCATACATTCATGACATGAACTTGTGAACTAATTCCCATGTTTCTGTCATGCTTGATAACACGCACCCGGAAACCATGGAACACATCAATGGTTTTCAAGAAAGTCTAAGCCTCAAGTTTGGAATAGTAAGGTCAGCAACTGAGCAGCAAATTCAGACTGCGAAGCCATTTGCGTGTTCTGACGTTCCGCGCGCATGCTTCAGCCGCTTCAAGCCAATGTGGCTTCTGCTAGCGGTTCAGCAGTGCTGTCCTCGGTGAAGTGCGGCGCATTCTGGCCCAGCCGGAGCTGCGTGCCTTCAGTACGACAAGGGACGCATCGCATGCTATCTTGAAGGTTGCTCTTGTGTCGGAATCAGTCAGTGCGAGTCCCCACCAACAGGGCCAGTGTGGTTTGTGCAACTGTCGGGTCCAGATGTAGAAAGACAACTGAGATGTACGGGCAACCGTCTGACTGTCATGACACGCCTGCCCATAAGTGAAAGCTGTTTCCAGGACCAGCGCTCAGAACTACGAGGCCTGAAATTCCTCGGCACGTCCGCCAGCATGTTTCCACCAAGCTTTTATTGGCCTGCCAACTGCTGAACACTGTATACGTCTTTGCGCAAACTGCAGATTGTGAGCGGCACGTTCGGCAGGAAATTGCTAGGACCACAGGAACAGAAGACGATGTCAATAAAACGCTTTACGTCCTCGCCTTCGCAATGCTGCGGAATCTCATGCTGCTCTTGACCAGTGCGTGCATGCTTTTGTAAGATGAGTGCGGTTTGGCATCATGATAATGCATCATGGATGCTATTCACAACAGCAGGGCAACAACATGCTGGGGCTGGAGTTGCTTCTGGAAACTTTGATGAGTTCCGAAACCCCGTGGCTAGTATCAGCTCGAGCCGACAGCAAAGGGGTCATGTGCTTTTGCTACAGCAAGGACCGCTCCTGCAAACTGCACGGTATCGGTGTCTTCAATTTTCGAATCTGACCAACTCCCCCACTGGCAAACATCATCCTTCGTTGAGTAGCCCCTGATAAGATCAGCCGGAGAGCTGATGTTTCAAGGTCTCTGCAGATGTTGTGGGAGAAGGTAGCTGAACTTGATGCTCAAAGGGTATCTGCATTCGGAAGCATGACTGCTCCAAAGTTCGCGCCGAGAGCAGGCTCCAAACAATGCAGTGAGTCTGAGTCCTGGAGCGGCCGCAAATTGGCGGGATCTTCCGCGAACCTGCGAGGGCTGCAAATCCGACTCTCTTGGTTTCCCTCCACCCCGGCACCCTGCGCCAAAGATACACGTCCATTGAAATCCACTCCGTGACAAATGACTGCTGGGTGACAAGCCCTCTGAGCACTTGGAGGCACGAGGACGTCAAACGAAATGCCTTCGCCCCACAGTCTCTCCGGATCTCAGCACGTCTCACCATATTGCAATTAGCTCGGGCCAGTTGGTCCAAAGTGAAGGGAATTTCCGATGTGCATGGCAGTCTGGTGCCGTCAGCTCTGATCAAGCAGGAGCAAAAATGAGCCAGCGACCATAGCATGCGCCGGGACCTGAGTGATCTGGAACCACAGATACCGCATCGATCAAACTTCGGTCAACAAAAAACATGCAATGCTTGTAGTCTGCTTCAACTTCCACATCTTGCTTCATGGTTGCATGTCTGCATCAGGCGGACTTTAGACAGTCGCAGATTCATAGACCTTGCATGCCGTGGATTTTCTGCTTCGCAGTAAGTCGAGGTACTGTTCAGGTGAGACAGCTACACAGGAAAAGCGGCTAAACAGCCTTAATGGCCACTGCAAACTCAACCTGAAGGCCTTCCCAATTTTGAAACGAGCCAGCTTTCCATCGCCTGGGACGCGGAGCGTATGCTGATCATGCGCACACACACATTGCATGACAATGTATCGTCGGAGCCTTCATTCATCGCATGGTCTTGCTGCGACCAAAAAATCCCAACACCTGGTCTCACACTCTTTCATGTGGGCACGCTGACTGACAGCAGACACTGCAGACGACTGCTTGAATTCAGTGTCTGTGTCAGGCAGTACTCTGGGGAGCGGCCCCATCCCGTCATTTTGACAGGGTGGGCTTGGTACTCAAGGATTTTGCAGGAATTGAATACCCCCAGTAGTTTGCCAAAGACCAACAACTACACTCAAGTACAGTTGTTACGGCAGTTCACCCGGGCACTCTGGTGTCCTGCTGAAGGCTGGTGCCCTCATGGTGTTTGGGCTGTTGCCCACTGTGCCAGGCCAGTAAGTACTCCTAAACCCACCTTACTTGCCTGAGCCCAGCCTTTATCCCGGAGACTCTCTCTCTCTCTCTCTCTCTCTCTCTCTCTCTCTCTCAAGTAAGGTCAGGAAGTCAGTAAGTGGCAGGCCCCTGTCCGGCTGCTTCCACGGCCATCCTTCCGCCGCTTGTCCTGCGCCATCGAGCGAATCAGTTTTTGATGCGAGGGCCTATGCCAAAACACCATCATCCGACCTATGCTTGCCACAAGTTGCTCGACTTGTGCTGGAAAATCTGCGTGATCAGCGTTGCACATCGATCCATGGCGCACCTCTAAAGTTGATCGTGCTGAGCCGCTGATCTCGCTTTTATGGTACGATGTATAACAGATTCACACGATCTACAAACCAAGCGCTGATTCTTGCGTGTGACCACAAAAGGATTCGAGTGGTTGGGAAACGCAGAGGCCGGCAGCCTGTCAAGATGCCAACCAGGGACATGAGGAAGTCGATGGTAGACCCTGTTGCGTAAACTTCGTCTCGAACATCCTTTTTCTGGATGGTTGCATGAATTTAGCATGATTTCTGAGTGCATACTGCTATATCATATCCGTTCTTGCGGTAGGTCGGATGTCCTAGGCATAAAGTCGGACGTAATGTGGCTCCGCCATGAATCTTTGCAAGCACTGGGCAACAAAACGGTCCGTACCTGCTGAATTCCAAACAAAATCATAGAAGTGTGAACTGTCCCAACTGGTGTTCGCCAGCGGCTCGTCGCTGAGGACTTCGGTCAACGACCATGTTACCTTTCAAGATGACCAATGCAAACGAATTTGCGCAACCTGGCATTGAAAATGATCTACAATGATCTACACCTTACCTTCTTCCCATGTCCTGCTCGCACAAGTAAAAGATGGTTTGTTTCTATTTCTGAGACCATTCACGGCCTCTCAGCAAAAGCCTGGAGAAGAACACATTCTTGTGATCGGGTTGTTGGCAAAACAAATCCGTTCTAGGATTTAGTCTTCAGCATCTCTGCTTCTTCAGAGGTCGTGGATCACACCGACAAGTTGCTTTGGAATCTAGAAGTCGAGGCGAGGGATTGACAGCCGTGCGGAAGCCAGCATGCTTTTTCCGATCGTTTTTTGATCGCAATGCTTTTGGCCGCTTTTGAATTCTTTTCGAATCGTTTCGGAGATCTTGTTTAGACCGATTTAGTGTGTGGTGTTGTAGTTCCGGGACCGATGTTCTGAACCTGCTGAAGCCAGAATGGCGCACTGACAACCCTGGCCACGAAGTGCGCAAACAACGCGACCATTAATGCAAACCGAATCCTGCCTCTCCAAGCCTTGCATTGTCGTGCATGCTCATTGCCTCGACATGCTGTCCTCGATCTTGCGCGCGAGCTCATCGCAACGTTTGAGTTGCTCCTGCTTCAGCGCCTGAGAACCCAAGCAACATGCCTTCCGGCACTATTGCTGAGCTGGTCTATCTATCATGAACATGAATTTGGCAAACATGTCTGCGTAAGGCGCATATCCCGCAGTGGAATGAGATTCGCCAACCTCTGCTTCACGTCTTTCTTTCCGCACGTTTTGGATTGCTGCCTGTAGCTGAACCGGAAAGCATTATGCATGGAAGAGGTAGACACGCTGGGAATGTCAGTCGGCGTCAGACCTGTTTCAACCTGGTCGCAGCATAATAACTACTCATGACAGCACTCATCCGCGTCCTCCGCATCAAGAAGCAAATCTTTCTGTTTCTGAATTTGATCCTGAAGCAGTGGCAGTGTCCATGCGAAAATCTAAATGCTAACGCTCAGAAACTACAGTCGGCCTCCATGTTCTGAATTGCTTGCATGAGGTGCTCCTGCCCATACACACATGAACAAGCTTGCTGCATGTGGCCGCCAAACACACGGATTCAGTTGCCAACAAACACCATGCGGCAGATTGCAGCAGGCCGAGAATCAAGAGGCGAACGCGACAGATGCAGGGTTCGCCTTCTCGCCGCCCAGCTTCTCGCACTCTGACCGAAGCTTCCGGGCTACCACAGACGGTCGGGGAAGATCTTCATCACCTCCATATGCCAGAGATTGACAGAACCACTGTGTAGGACCTGTATGTTCATGCGGTGCTGATAGCGATTGGGGAAGGATGCGAATGCTGTACCATCGAGGGCATAAATCAAGCAACTCCAAATAATGGAGGGACGAGGTGGCTGGTCATACAGGTTACACTGCTAACAGCATGAAACGTGCAAGAAACACAACCGTCCTTCTCCCGGGCTCCCATGTACCCACTTAGTTTGCTTTTGGCGCCGCTGCCCTACTGCTGCCTCTAAGCCGCGTGTGCCTTGAGCATACCGCGAATCAAAGTCATCGTTGCTATACCCTACCCCTACCGACCAGTCATCCTGAAAAGGTTGAGCTTTTCATGGAGGAGCAGGTTCTCCCTCCTTCTCCTCCTCCTCCTTCTCGATCACCCTCCGGAAACTGCAAACACGACTAAACGCTCCCTCGAGGGCATTCTGTTGGATGCCGTGCGCGCTTCGGGGCGACCACCCTCCGGAAGACTGTAAACGTGACTAAACGGCCTCTTTAGATTGCATACTTGTACCTGCCTAACGCATCCTGAAGATGCAACTACGTCCACAGTGCCAAGTCCAGATGCGACCTACGTGTACCGCATCAGGGTGCTGGCGAGGATTATGGTTGAGGAGGGCATCGGCACGAATGGAAATGCGCACCCTCCTCCGGTGAATTTTGAATTCCTTGTCCATACTTTTCAAGGTCAGCTAAACAACATCACTATAGAGCAAGCTCGAATGCGAGATCAGCTCCGTGAATTGATGCGTACCAAGCAAGCTTGGAGCAACGAGCATCAACAGATCGTGCGACTGTTGCGCAGGATCCAAGAAATCATGGATCCAGGATTTCAGCCAGGAATGCCGTTACTACACGGTTTATGTGCACCTTAGAGCCACTAGCACGACAACGCAGACTCCGCAACTGCTGCACAAGGCAAAAATGGAGTAGCAATCATTCAGGTCTCGCGCAACTCGGATTGAGAAGCGCTGCAGATAACACTCTCTCTGTCGATGTGCCGTGGGATTCGATGCAAACTTCTCCAGCGATAAAAAAAGTCGCTGCCGCAGTTCTGCTTGCTGTCGCTCTGCTGTGCATTGCAACTGCCACTCCCACACCTGCACGCTGCACAGCTCTCACTCACTCACTCACTCACTCACACTTACGCACACACTCGTTCGCTCGCTCACTCACTCACTCACTCGCTTACTCCTTCACTCACTCACCCGTCTTCCCTTCTAGCATCTTTGCCAAAAGATGAGATACACATGTGGGGTTATCCGGTCCTTTAATTAGTAAACCAAACTCGAGCTGAGTCCACAGGACTGGATTTCGTTCGTATCTGGTTGGAACGTGTCCACCGTCTGCCACTGTCACGAAGATCTGGCATAGTAAGTGTTGTGTCCACGCTCCGGAAAGACACAAGGATTCGGCATGTCTATGCCTGGGCCCATGGGCGCGTGGTAGCCGGAACATACACATAGTTATAGTCATAGCTACTTTTCAGTGGATGTAGCTGGCTTAAAGAACATTTCGTGGTGTTTAGCCGACAGTGTCAGGAGATGCTCGGAGCCTCGACCCAACAAGACCTGCGTCGTATGTCATGTTATCGCTCTGCTCACACTTGCCCAGCATACACGCTGCTGACAGCTGACTGACTGGTGCAAGCTTGCCCCGCCTGCCGCAGTTATCCCCTTCTCAGCACCTGATGCATGCTCACGCATTGCAAATTAGGCAATGAGCTTCAACCCGCGACGAGTCGAGAGCATTCCCAACCACCCTGCGTGCATTTACGTGCCAACCGCGCCCCCTTTAAGCGGATAACTTAGTGAGAAAAGTCACTTGGAGCGTCTTACGGCAACGAGCATCGACTACCGGGTTCGGCTCGGAATCGCTTCGACTTGCCTTGCTGGTCCTGCCAAGTCCAAGCCCTCTGACATTCCAAAGCTTCAAGCTCAACCCGGCAACAAGCGAAGGGAATAGTATATCTGAACTTTCGGGATGCCTGGCGGGTATCCTCCATGCGATGTTGAAGTCTCACCTCCAAACTTGAGGGGACAAAAGAAAGCCTAGCAAAACAGAGCTGTCGAGGCGGGCTCCAAGCATTATCACATCCAAATGCGTCCCTCGGCAGCAGAGGCAAAAGGCTCCAGGCATCCTCATACATGCAACCACAAAACATGGAGATAGAAACGAAAGCCTCGCTACGCTGGCTATCGCTGGCTTTCGTGCT